AAGAATTGCAGCGACAGCATCAATAATTGCTCATCTTACATGCGTCTTCTGTACGGGGCGTATCATCCCGACCTCTTCCCAAGTGTGTCACTGGTATTCAGATGTAATTATAACAAACACAAGTAAGCTTGATTATTCTACCATTTCGGTAAGTAGAGTGGTGGAAAGAAAACGCCTTTGCCGACCCCCCCAAAGCCCAAGTGTAGGATGGAAAATAAAAGGAACCGAGGCAGATACCCAGTAAAAAGTGTTATATAGGCGCTTCGCGGAGCTACCATGTGTGCAACAGGATTCTAAAAGCTTTCATATTCATTCTTCGTAAGCCAGTAGAGCATGAGACCTATAAATCATTTCGATTGACCCCACGGTCTCTTCGTCCAGCTTCCTTAAGGTTTCTTGCCATCCTTTTTACACAAGAAACCATTTCTGGCCCTGAAGACTCAAGGGTGACTTGCATATTACCACTTATCATGTAAAACGTCTCTCGTGCTCACCGAAACAGATCCCTTGTCATCATCCGGCCTCTTCATTCCTTCCACGTCCACACCTATTTACAGCTGCAAAAGGGTTCCCCCAATATATTGAAAGTCAATTCATGCAAAAGCAACGATGCGGCATGTGTGGTGGAACAAAATCGGGTTACTTCATGTCCAAATGCTGCTTGGCCGATCCCTTCCGGAAGCCTAGGTGGTCGCCTTCGGATTGGATTCTTTGCATGACATCGATCTTGTGTGGCAAGAATGTCGATGGGATTGCCAGTACCTTTTAGATTACGAGAAAAGCGCATCTAGGATCATGACACCGCAGGCTTTACACTCACATGCCTTTCACGATGCTGCCTCGGATCAAGATGGTTACCCATGGTGTCGTCCCAACATATCTCTGGCGAGTGCCGCAGTGATGGATAAGTGACAGGCTGTGGGTCTCCCACTACGCGAGAAGAATTCATTTCACTTCACAGGAGGGCGTGGTATCTCAATAACTGATTGGCTTCTTTCCACAGGGTTGCATTTGCTTGCATTGGCTTTTTTAAGCCGTTGCTCATCGCTACATTTCTTGAGCATATCCATAGACTTTTTGCACTGTCGAAAGTCTCGATCATGCTCTCCCAAACATTCCTCAAGATTAAAGTATTCCTACGTATGTGATGTGATCCATTGAATTTATTAAAAACTACGCACGCATGAATGAAGGGTATCTCGACAAATCAGCCTGAAGGCTCAAATATATAATCATGAACATGAGTCATGCGCGCATGGGAATTTCCAACGTACAGATCCGTCCGCTGAGGGCGTAGCAAAATGAGTTCTCCTTACAGCTCCCGTGCGACGAGCCCACTCTACCTACAGCCTTGGCGTTCTAGCCAAGCACAGGAGTACACGGCGTGTGACCATGGCCACGTACTCACCTTGGCACACCCAGAAGAGGCGATGATCTCCCCCACGTCTGACATGGGGCCTCCAGCAGCCCTACTCGCGAGGATGCGTGCTGAAACACATGACACATGAGAACGTCAGTGCGTTGAAGTGAGGCCTATCATATCGTCCCGGAGCTTCGGTGTCATCCAAAGATTTGCCACCACATAAACGCCGAGACGCCGAAGGCGATGAGGTGGAAGATGACACAGCCACAATCGGTTTAACCCTACTCGGGTCATGCCGGAAAGCCCGATGCTTGCGTTTAATAGCTAGCTCCCTGTGAGGCATACGACACACCCAGTGTAATCTCTCCGTCGGAATGCTTGTGAATGCAAGCCCTACGAGGTAATTTCCCGTTTAATGTGGTATTTCTTTGCCCTCTTGACCCAGAAAAGCTCGGGTGGTGTAAGCCCGAACGGAATCGGAGAAGCGTTGCGCCTCAAATTTAACACGCCGTCTTCGAGAAGGACTGCATACAACACCAGACTAGTGTGTTTTGGTACGGTCTAGACCTCCAAAAATGTTGGAGAAATGTAAAATACTTCCGTAACGGCGATATCAGGCCTTACCGGAAAAGGAACACTCCTCTAAGACACGTGGCAACATATCACACATGGCGAGAAGGTTTGTTCTCAGGTAAAACTGTGCCTGTGGCCAAAGTATACAGATCAAACAAACCGGACATACATTGACAACATTTTGCCGTGAGAATGCCAATGCACTACCAGCAACATGCTGCGCATGCAAACACAGACCTGTCTCGTCCGCTTTGCCTAGAAGTGCGAGACTTTGCAATGAGGCCCGAGAAGCATTTGCCATGACGTGCCAACGACATGCACTGGAAAGTATGATCGCGATGATGCGCGAGCGAAGTCATCAACTCCATTGATATAGCAAGCATGATCTGCGCTGTGCTCGATGTGTAGAGGCAGGGGGCGGATCTCAGGCGTGCTTGAGAAAGGTTGCACCTTGAGCTGTTTCAGCGAGGCTGTGTTGGGGGCCCTGATCCCAAACGACGAAGTTTATTTCCTTTGCTTGGCTCCTGCCTCTGAGTAATGAAGTGTGCTGGTGTCTTTGTCTTGTCAGCCATGATATACGACTCACAACACGGTGAAATTGTCCTCCCCTTGTCAAGTGGCAAGGATTTGGTAATGTCGATACGCTGTTTGCTGTGCGGGGATCTCGTATTGCCGATCCAACCATCCAAGAAAGGTCTGGTCGAAATGACTTTGAAAGGGCTGATGACCTGTATAGGAGTACATGAACATCCATGCGTGCAGTGTAGCGTGTTACGTGGCTGCGTGCATGCGGGAAAAACGACACTGCATGTCTCTTGCGGACAATCGGGCGCTTTCAGCCGGCCTGTGTCTACGTGGCATTATGTCATGAGGTCCTGCACTAGATTTCCGTGCAGGTCAAGTTGGTTGATCAAATAGGCGCACGGCTCGACTTCTTCCCTAAGCTGGAATCGGACTGTGTCACGTGCTTTCCTACTACTCTACCACCACTACTCATACTGGCCTTTCGGCGCGGACCATTTTTCCCCACAGATGCAAGGAGATGCCGGTCCACCCTTAAGTGCCTGGTGCGCACGCAGCATGTCAGCACAGCGTCTCTTGAGGTTGCGACCGCTATGAACGCCGTCAGAGACGGTGGGCCTCCTGGCTGGGCTCTGGTGGGCGAGCTCCAGTCAGCACCAGGATTGGACCGTCTAAGCCATTGTCGTCTAGCGTCGACGACCTTTACGTACATCGGATACCGACTGCGCAAAGCCGGACGCCTTCAGCACTATAAATTGCAAGGGATCCTGTGAGTAGACCCTGACGAGGAATGGTACAAACAGGGAAGCCACCGTCTTGAACGTCTAGCAACACCGAGGCGTAACGTGCTGACAGGGACGCCATGATCACTACATGGTGGGGCCTCGTTGCCCTCGTTGCTCGTCTCGGGACGACCATAGTCTCTTGCCAGTGGTCCAGGGGACGCCCTAGACAGACGCTTGCCCTGTGTTGATGTCCTCACAGTCACTTGCTACTTATACCCCAATCAGGCGTGCATGGGATGTGTACTGTTACCGAACCAAGACTGACGTGACATGCGGGGCTTTGCTGGGCCTGTATCGTATCCTGGCATCGCCTATACCTCATGGCGTTCCAATCTGTTATCAGGCGTCATTACAGGAGAACATTTCAATGTACGATGATCGACCGATTGAAGAGAAATTGTCCCCTCACCACATGCCGGAGTACGTGTTGAGGCTTTGCATGGAAAGCCGCAAGGAAGGTGCTGCTGTATGCGGATACACGTACGTGAACGGGCACTTCCAACTGTGGACGGACACTCTCTTTGCGGAGAAGTACTACACTGCGACCGAGGCGAACGCACGTTTCACGCAGTTTGCAGTCCTGCCTTGTTATCTGTACGGGTGTTTATTCCATCCTCGAGATCGCCCCTGTTTTTACGAGCTCCTGGTCGAGTACTTGTTGACAAAGGGGGACGAGAGGCGTCGTCTAGCCATGGTGGCGGAGGTGCTAAGGAACGACGGGACCAGCGAGGCTTGCTTGGTACAGGCACGACACACGGTGATGAATGACGGTCAGTACCTGGCCTTCGCCATGAGCTTTCTTCCCTTGGCCAACGCCAGCGCGAGCTCGTACACGGTTCATCATCTCCGCAAGTGCAGTGCCTGGCATGCAGAGCGGCTGGACCTTCCTGACCTGGAGAATGAGGGGGAGAAAGTGCTTGGGCTTACTCCGTCCATACTGGGAGCCTCGGGCTTGTCAAGAATAGAGGCCGAAGGGGCAGCTCAGGGAGGCTGTCAGTCACATGTAAGCGGGCTGGACGTCGGGCATGGGGCGGGAGACCTGAGTACAGCAAAACTACGAGGAGGACTACGAGGGGGAGAACATGGCATTAGGGCGGAAGGGAGGGGAGCGCGCAAGCGAGGAAGGAGAGAGGCAGATAGAGGAGAATCAATGGCAGGGGGAGGTAAGGCAGCAAACCAAAAAGGCGCCGCATCCAAACGTAGTACTGCTCAGTCTCGTGGCGGGAGACATGGACGTGGACGAGGCAGCACCGATGCGACCGCAGGAGGGGAAGAATCTCATGAAGACAGAGAGCCCTTCAACCAACGATCTTACACGAGACCCTTCGCTGACGGACAGATGCCGGCTCGGGCTTCACAAGCGTACGTCCTACCATCCTCGACATCCTTCGCCATGGGTGACGCACAGCGACAAGTGCACTCTCTATCACAGCAGAGGCAGCCTGGACAACTGCAAATGGGCGTCGGATCGCGCTGGCAAAGCATGGCTTGGCCTCGCACGACGTCCACAGAAGAGCGAAGTCGGGATAAGGAAGGAGGAGAGAAAAATCAAGGAGGAGAAGGGCGAAGAGACGAGCTACAAGGGGCCACAGGAGAGCTCGATCCTGCTGGGGGACGACAAGGAGTGAGAGAGTACTTGTACGCACAGGATACACACGGCAGCACAGCGTTTGACCCGGCGGGGACGATATCGCCGCCTGTACCGATGCACCCCCTATCGCTTGTCTCGCGTCCATTGCAAGACCAGCAGTATTTGTATCGCCACCCACAGCATCGACACCATCAGTGGCAACCGCAGCAGCGGCAGCAGCAGCAGCAGCAGCAGCATCAAGGCCAAGAATTGCAGCGACAGCATCAATAATTGCTCATCTTACATGCGTCTTCTGTACGG